AACACACACACACACACACACACATCACCAAAAACACACACACACACACACACACATCACCAAAAACACACACACACACACACACACATCACCAAAAACACACACACACACACACACACATCACCAAAAACACACACACACACACACACACATCACCAAAAACACACACACACACACACACACATCACCAAAAACACACACACACACACACACACATCACCAAAAACACACACACACACACACACACATCACCAAAAACACACACACACACACACACACATCACCAAAAACACACACACACACACACACACATCACCAAAAACACACACACACACACACACACATCACCAAAAACACACACACACACACACACACATCACCAAAAACACACACACACACACACACACATCACCAAAAACACACACACACACACACACACATCACCAAAAACACACACACACACACACACACATCACCAAAAACACACACACACACACACACACATCACCAAAAACACACACACACACACACACACATCACCAAAAACACACACACACACACACACACATCACCAAAAACACACACACACACACACACACATCACCAAAAACACACACACACACACACACACATCACCAAAAACACACACACACACACACACACATCACCAAAAACACACACACACACACACACACATCACCAAAAACACACACACACACACACACACATCACCAAAAACACACACACACACACACACACATCACCAAAAACACACACACACACACACACACATCACCAAAAACACACACACACACACACACACATCACCAAAAACACACACACACACACACACACATCACCAAAAACACACACACACACACACACACATCACCAAAAACACACACACACACACACACACATCACCAAAAACACACACACACACACACACACATCACCAAAAACACACACACACACACACACACATCACCAAAAACACACACACACACACACACACATCACCAAAAACACACACACACACACACACACATCACCAAAAACACACACACACACACACACACATCACCAAAAACACACACACACACACACACACATCACCAAAAACACACACACACACACACACACATCACCAAAAACACACACACACACACACACACATCACCAAAAACACACACACACACACACACACATCACCAAAAACACACACACACACACACACACATCACCAAAAACACACACACACACACACACACATCACCAAAAACACACACACACACACACACACATCACCAAAAACACACACACACACACACACACATCACCAAAAACACACACACACACACACACACATCACCAAAAACACACACACACACACACACACATCACCAAAAACACACACACACACACACACACATCACCAAAAACACACACACACACACACACACATCACCAAAAACACACACACACACACACACACATCACCAAAAACACACACACACACACACACACATCACCAAAAACACACACACACACACACACACATCACCAAAAACACACACACACACACACACACATCACCAAAAACACACACACACACACACACACATCACCAAAAACACACACACACACACACACACATCACCAAAAACACACACACACACACACACACATCACCAAAAACACACACACACACACACACACACCCACACACACACACACACACTTCTGATGTACTTATACCGTGTTTGAGAGTTTCCTTCACATCAATGTAACATTTAGGCAAGACACTACAGGCAAACACATTTTTTTTTTCAATATTTTAAAAGTTTTCTTAAAAACACATTTCTTAATAATAATAATAATAATAATAATAGTACCACAACTGTTTATTATATAAAAGTAACACAAATTTTTATGTTTTTTCTTATTATTTGTATAACATTTATTTAAAAATATATTTTAGAATTAATTTAAAAAATAAATATAATAATAGTTGTTTATTGTACAAAAGTAACACAAATGTAACATTTTAATTATTCTTACATTTATTTTTCATTATTAAATTGATTTAAACAATATTAAAAAGAGATTATCATTTTTTTTTTAAATGCATTTAATAAAAAATGTTGTCTTTCAGACTAGTGGAACGCATCCAAAATACACATTAAAGTGTATATTTTATTGCACTTTATCTATTTGCGTCTGTAGATATCAGTTCTTTAAAGAGTTTTTCTCTTACAAACACCAAACTTTACGGTTTTACTTCTCTCTCTATATTCTGTAGGTTTGTTCATATTTCATTTATACAACATTTCATTCCTAAAAACATGGTGAAAATGTGTTTGTTTTCTGTCTGTTGACAGTATTTTCTGATTTATGGAGCGATAAAAAGAGAAACGAACCTGACTTTATCCAATGTTCAGATTTATGTTCTTGAAATGAATGCAAATGAGTGCATATTTAATTAGATAATGCCTCATTTGCATATTTAAAGATAACTTTTCAGAAAATGTTTAGTTTTAATGTACTGTGATGAATTAGCTGGTGAATCGATTAGTTCACCCTGAGCGTCTTGCCTTGAAACAGATGTGTTGTTTGCCAGGTAGCTCGTTATGCACATTTAGAGCGTTTAACGAACTTGAACTCGCTCAGCAAGAGTCTTCAGGCTGTTGTCGCAGCAGAAAGAAAGCAGACGGTCACTGTAACGAAACACTGAGAATAAAACACGTTCTTGACAGCACTTAAAATCACAGCTTGAAGAGTCTGTTTGTTTCAGGCTGCTTGTTTATCGATCGCATTCCCTCCATCTGTCAAAAGAAATCAACAGCGTCGCAGTGAAGGCGTGCATTGCAAGTCCGTTTCAGAAATACACAAACTGTCCAGTTCTGACTTCCGGGGCCTCATTTATAAAGCGTGCATACGCTCAGATTTGATCTTAGAATCACTTCTATAATGTACTTAAAGTGCTCTATTTTTGCGCACTAATTTTGTACTTAATATACTAAAAATGATTCTTTAGTACTTCTTAAGATAATATATGAATATGAACTAAAATGCGCTTTTAACATACTATCTCTGTATTGAGAAAAATGTATTTAGTCACCACTTGAACCCTTCTTTCATACACTAGTGTACTATAAGTGGTGACTTTTTACATACAGAGATAGTATGTTGAAAGTGCATTTTAGTTCATGTTCATGGTGTCCCAAAATAGCACAGTTGAGTACACTTAGTTGATCTTAAGAAGTACTAAAGAATCATTTTTAGCATATAAAGCAGTGAGGAGCGGTGACTTTTTTAACCGGGTATGCAGAGTGCTAAGATCAGCAGTAAACAGGAGTTAAAACTCCCACCCAGGTGACACTACTCCAATAATAGACCATGCAAAATACCCAAAAATAATTATATCTTTAAAATATTACCAATGCTGCCAAGTAACGTTGCAAACAACAATAAAATCAGGGAGGGACTGTAACTATAAGTGACATGAGCATACGGAAAACATGTTTCCTCTCTTTTTCCCCGATGTTTGTTATTAGTTAAAATTGTATAAACATTTTTATAAACACTTTTTTTTTAATTTACCACTTAGGCATGTTGTATCTTCAACATTGTCAATGAGATATGTTTTCAGTGGACTTTCAAAATGTGCTTTGCTTGAGAAAGCATGAAAACATACAGTTAAAATGTTTTTTTTTATTTGATTTAGTTGAGCTAGATTTGCATCAAACACAATGTAAATTCTGACAGTCGAGATCTGGCAGCAACAGCGCATTTTTCCGGACTATTTTTCATGTAGTTCCATGAAATCCGATTTGTGCAAATCCGTTTCAAGCTACATTCATATGTTTCAGTCTGACCGCTCAGATCGGATTTAGCGTGTTGCTGTTTCACGTTCTCACGCTATTTGAAATGTAAAAATGTCAGATGTTTTTTTTTATAGAAAACATAATAAATGTCTTTGCAGAAAGAAGATTGTGTTGTTGCGAACTGTAAGTCAAGCGGAGAAAGACAATATACTGCTAGTATACGCACTTCTTTGAGTTTTGAGACCGATGGAGACGGCAGCACAGAATATAGTCGCACATTCCAGCTTCTTGCGTTTCTTACCGATGCCTCATAAAACGAATATAATCCAGCGCGACCGCAAACTATATTGCTGTTATTGTTGTTTTTAGCACAGGCATAACAACGCAACGGCATTGCCATAGAAACCAATGCACATTCTGTAAAACGAAAGAGCGCTTATGGACACACAAATCAGATATGAACAGTAAGTAATTCAAATCAGATATGCACAAAATCAGATTTGAGCGGAGAGTCTGAACGAGGCTTTTGTTGCGTCTCAAATGACAAGGGATCAACTTATAATCATGTTTATATTAACTAGTAGGGCTGGGACAATAAATCGATGCATTCGTGGATCGATTCTGAGATTTTCTGAATGCATCGTGATTCTCTCTGGAATCGATTCTGAGCTTAGTTTTTAACCGCACACTCGTACGTTCAGCTGAGTAATGCAAGTGGTTAAATGTACTTGCACATCGGCTTTTATGCTTTTATGATGCGAGATTAACGTAAACACAGCCCACTACACATCCTTGTAATTCGAATGTAACTTGAAATCCTTGTAACTTTATGAATGATTATTTTAGGTTCAAGTGGTGCATGTGTAAGGAACTGGAAGCAAGCAGAATACAGCTATTTCTAAAGCACGCAGCGCCATCTGCTGTTAAAAACTAAGCTCAGAATCGATTCAAGAGAGAATCGCGATGCCTTCGGAAAATCTCAGAATCAATGCAGAATCATTTTTCGATTCGCGATGCATCGATTTATTGTCCCAGCCCTATTAATTAGCCTGTGAACTCATTCTCTCAGACGGCCTGGGTATATGGACGGAACGCCACTGATATTAAGTACAAAATCAGTGTGAGAATATAGAGCACTTTAAGTACATTATGGAAATGTGCTTTTTTTTTTTAAACCTGGGTTAGGATGGTTTCTGCGCAACACTTTATAAATGAGGCTGCAGCCCTGGTCTGGATGGGTTCTCTCAGACGCTGGCGCAGCGGGAGGTGAGATTGGGATGGTGGCTGGATGGAGGGACGCTGTTCTCGGGGCCCAGAATGTCGAAACAGAGGGTCTCGACGGCATCCAGCCGTTCGATCTGGACCAGACGGGTCAGCAGGTCCGGGATGCTGTATCCCGCCGTACTGATACGGTCGAAGAGCTGCATGCCATCCGTCATGCCTCCGATCTCGTCGCGCTTCAGGCCGAAGCTCTCGGCGAGATGCCTCCACGTCTTCACCACTGCCTTGTCCGTGCTGTAGGTGGCGCTGAGCATGCGGCTGCTGCGCTCCAGACAGTCGAACGCCAGCTCGGTCGGACTCAGACCTACAGAGATGAAGAACACCATCATCATCATCAGAGTAGGGATGGCGATATGGGCTTAAAATATATCACGATATTTCTGGTATTTATTGCGATAACGATATCAATGGTGACAATTCAGGGAATCCTGTTTCTTTAGAGAAAAGTATTATCTTTCATATTTTTACCCAAAATAGGGTGTTGTGAGCATTATTGAGTACTACACACGTAATGTAATGACGGTTTAATTAAATTGGAAGCCAGAGGGAGCCCTCGCGCAGAAACTCCGCACATGCATCACAGAAGTAATAGCACTGATGACGACGCTCCAGGAAATCCCTAATATAGACAAAGGTATCGCTGAATAAAACGCACAACGGAGATAGAGAAAATTTAACTGATGACACTTGAAGACAAGAAACATACGATTGCACAAAATATATGGCTTATCTGTGTGCTTCAAGTAATCTTGGGTATTTTTTATAAGGAAAGTATATTAATAATGCAATGCTAATCGGCATAGCCTTTATCACTGTACATAATACTATCATTCTGTGATATGAAACCACGTTTGGTCACAAAAATAAGTTATTTCAAACACTCGACTATGTTAAGTTAATTTGGAGAAAAAGCATGTCAATAAATTATATCTTTGTTGGACAACAGGTTTGTAAACAGGCTCAAACACATGCAAAGGGCTACATTTATTCAGACCGATTTCTTGTGCACTGTACAGCCCTGACCAAACCAGTTCGATTATAGAAGGAGCTCCTCGTTTAGCGATAAACTCCTGCTCAATTTCACGTCCGCCTTCCACGATGTCGCTCCGCACGGTTGCACTCAGAAATATGTCAGCAACTTTATCGTTATTATCACGGGAAGACTAATTCTTATCATGGGGAGAATTTTTATTGGTATATCGCAAATGTTAAGATATCACCCATCCCTACATCAGAGTAAACTAGTAGTAAAACACTGGCTATGTTTACATGCAACCAAATAATCCGTTTGTAATCGGAGTGACGGCTCAATCGGACTGAAAAACGTTCATGTAAACACCTTAATCGAGTCGATTGAGCTCGATCAGAATGAAATTTAGATTGGTTTATTCCTTTTCTAATACGATTGAGAGTGCATGTAAACACTCGATCGGATTGAACCCCCGAAACTGAAAGGACTGCACGTGTGCAATGATGCAGAAATAACGTAATGACGTTACTTTACGATGTCCATAAATGGATAAATATTAATTCTGCTGTTAAAAACAAATAAAGAAACCGTGTAGGAGAGTGGTTATTATGTGCAAACAGTGAGAAACTTTATATTTGTGCAGTGTGCGCATGTAAAAAAATAAAATAAAATTCTGTTACATGCATTTTTCGAAAATATTTTAAATGTATCTATTTTTTAAAGTATGTAGCAGAACTCTTTATTGTATAAAAATAATAAACATAAAAAAAATATATATATAATAAAAAAAAAAAGAATTAAATTATTATTAATTAAAAAATTTAGTATTTTTATTATTACTTTAACTTTTTTAAATATGTAAAAATGATCATTTATTTAAAAAAATTAATTTAATAATAATAATAACAAAAATACCACCAGAATTGTTTCTTAAACAAAATTAACAAAAATCTGATTCAAAATAAAGATATATTTTATTATCTTTTATATTTATTATTTTATTATCAAATGCATTTAAAATGTAAAAAAGTACTAATACATACTAATAAAACTAATAAAAATGTAAATTAAAAATAAATGTAATAATAACAGAACTGTTAAAAATGTATTTATTATTATTAAAATAAATAATACTGACAGAACCAGAACTGATTACTGTACAAAAATAACAGAAATCTCCTTAAAATGTTAAAATTCTTAAAATTGTGATTTATTCATTTTATTTATTATTTGTATTATTACATTTATTAGGTCAATAATTCTCACAGAACGTGTTGTGGTTATGTAAGCCATGTTTATTCTCACTGTAAGTGAACTCATACTTAACCTTGCGTAGTTTTGATCATCATCTACCAAGTGATGAGTTTGTGTCAAACATTGAGTTTGATTGACTGAACTCATCAACAAAAGCACATCTGTGAGGAGTCTCTCCTCCCTTTTAAGAGCTGACAAGTGTTTATTTTAATAGTATGTATTATATGGGTCCCATCAGAACAGTCCACTGGGATAAACAATGATAAAAATGCATTTGATTTGACTTAATTTCAATGATAAGAAATCAATATTTTTCCTTCTTCAATGATCTTGCTGCTCTATTATTTCTCTTGTGATTTTCTGAGTGGCAAGATTAACTTCACATGATTTAATGTTTATAAATGTTTAGTGTGTTTGCAGTGAGGTTTAGATCTGTTTGTCACACACTCCTGCTCATTACAGCTTTAACACAGCAGTCATCGTCTGTTTTACAGGCTTGACATAATCAGGAATTCACGGTTACGGTTACACTCACCCTCCGCAACACTGCAGGCTTTTGTGTACAAATCCAGGATCTTTTTCCTTCTGCTGTGAATCTGCATAAACAGGAAATGTTTGGATGAGTCACACAAAGCAACAGGATGCAGAAATAACGTAATGACGTTACTTTACGATGTCCATAAATGGATAAATATTAATTCTGCTGTTAAAAACAAATAAAGAAACCGTGTAGGAGAGTGGTTATTATGTGCAAACAGTGAGAAACTTTATATTTGTGCAGTGTGCGCATGTAAAAAAATAAAATAAAATTCTGTTACATGCATTTTTCGAAAATATTTTAAATGTATCTATTTTTTAAAGTATGTAGCAGAACTCTTTATTGTATAAAAATAATAAACATAAAAAAAATATATATATAATAAAAAAAAAGAATTAAATTATTATTAATTAAAAAAACTGCAGGCTTTTGTGTACAAATCCAGGATCTTTTTCCTTCTGCTGTGAATCTGCATAAACAGGAAATGTTTGGATGAGTCACACAAAGCAACAGAGTTCAATCTGAACCTACAGAACAAGATCAGATGTGGAGCAGAGCAGTAACTCTGCTGAAAAACTTAACAGAGTCCAAGAACAGAACATTTAATGTTAGAGGTGTGATGGGATACACCTTACGCTTTTAAAATACGGTACAAATTGTGAAATATTTATACTATTTAAACTAGTTGTTTTCTATGTGAATATGTGTTAAACTGTAATGTATTTCTGTGATGTGCAGCTGTATTTTCAGCATCATTACTCCAGTCTTCAGTGTCACATGATCTTCAGAAATCAGTATAATATGCTGATCTGCTGCTCAAGAAACATTTCTGATTATTATCAATGTTGAACACAGCTGTGCTGCACAATATTTTTGTCAAAATAATAATACACTAGTTTGGGGTAGGTAAGATTGAAAAAAAAAAAAAAGAAACACTTATTCATCAAGGATGCGTTAAATGAATCAAAAGTGACAGTAAAGACATTTCTAATGTTACAAGAGATTTCTATTTCAAATAAATGCTGTTCTTTTGAACTTTCTGTTCATCTGTGAATCCTGAAAAACAAAATGTACCACGGTTTTCACAAAAATATTGTGCAGCACAACTGTTCATCATAGATAATAATCAGAAATGTTTCTCGAGCAGCAGATCAGCATATTATTCTGATTTCTGAAGATCATGTGACACTGAAGACTGGAGGAATGATGCTGAAAATACAGCTGCACATCACAGAAATACATTACAGTTTAACACAGATTCACAGAGAAAACAGCTGCTTTACATTCTAATAATATTTAACAGTTTTACAGTATTTTTGATCAAGTAAATGCAGCATTGGTGAGCAGAAGAGACTTCTTTCAAAAACATAAAAAAATCTAAATGATTCCAAACTTCAGCGTAAATAACTCTTATACGTGTGTGGTGTGGTATTCACCCCGGTGGCTCTGCTGCTGGTGGTGTTATTGTTGTTGCTGATGGGGTTGGTGGAGCCGGTCTTGTCCCGCGTCAGATGCACCAGAGACAGAAGGCAAAGGTCAGCGGCTCCCTGTTTGTCCTGAGCTGCTTCCTCGTCACTATCGATGCTGCGACTCAAAAGCTGCTCGTTCTCTGATGACGCGTCGTTCTCACTGCAACAGTGCAAGTATTTAGTGATTGACGGCACATGTACAAAGAATAATAGTGATTCTGCCAGAAAACAATCACAATCAGTGGTTCTCAAACAGGACTTGTCAAAATATAAATGAAATACAACCCCAACTCCAACTCTTAAAAGCAAACAGTCTAACAGAAATAGATTAATCCTGCAGTGCACACTGCTATAGCTTGCGAATCACATTTTAATACATTTCAGCCATGCATGTTGATCGGACATTGCATTTTTATTTTTCTCAAAGAGAACTTATTTAAAATAAGAGAAAACATGCTTTAAAATAGGCTAAAACAACAAAAAAAATCAAGTAACGCTAAACAATACATAAACATTAGTTAATATAAATGAACAATAAACAAAAAAGCATTTAAAAATATTAATGTTAATTTCAACATTTATTTCTACATTTCTAAAAATCATTCAATCATTGAGTTTTTAATTAACTAACATTAACAAAGATTGCTGTAAAAAATATATTGCATTTTGTTAGTTGTTTACTCATCTTAACAAATGATACCAAATGATGTAAAGTGTTACAAATGTTTCTTATTTTAATTCACTCTCTCAACAACTGAATAGATTGTTTTTTGTTTTTTTTCTGAGGAAGAGTTCATGTTGAAAAATATTACTTTATGGTAATGTTTTATGCCAGTCATAGTCACTGTGAGCTGCATGAAGGTTCTTCAGGGTTTGAAACGACTCCTTGATGAAAGAGCCTGATTTAGACATTTGCTTTTCTGCCTATTGTGGTTTACAGTAATAACTATCATGTACTGACTAGCCTGTTGTTTTCAGCTCGTAGTTAAATTTCCCAGGAACAGCTTCCCAACAAGCGCCTGTTGACAAAGACGGCTCAGAGCCGCGCACAGAACGTCATTGTTTTCAGACACTCGATACTGCGCCGGTCTGGATCTGCATTAGCACATACTCTGGCACGAGTCAAATCTCCTGCTTCACATGTCTACAACAATCATAAACAGATGCAATCTATCTACATATTAGTTCATCTAGAATATATCTGACCAATTGCAATCAGTCGTTTGGGCTTTTTCGCTTTTCATTACATGTTGTTTCAGACTAGTGGAAAGAAAAAAATCCAAAATACACATTTACGTTTTTATTTTATTGCACTTTATCTATTTGCATCTGTAGATTTCTAATCTATATCTTTAAAGAGATGTTTCTCCACTTCAGCAGCACTTACAAACACCAAACTTTACAGTTTTATTCCTATCTATATTCTGAAGGGTTTTACTGAGGGGTTTGTTCATATATAATTTGCCTGGTTTTATTTGTACACTTTATCTATTTGCATCTGTAGATTTCAGTTCCAAAACATACCTTAAAAAGTTTTTTCTCCATTTCAGCAGCACTTCCAAACACCAAATTTTACAGTTTTATTCCTACCTGTATTATGAAGGGTTTTACTGAGGGGTTTGTTCATATATCATTCACCTGGTTTTATTTTTGCACTTTATCGTTTTGTTTCTGTAGATTTAATTTACAGTACATATCTTTAAAGAGTTTGTTTCTCCACCTCAGCAATAATTATATACACCAAATTATAAAGTTTTATTCCTCTATATATTCTACAGATTTTTACTGATGGGTTTTTTCATATCACTTGCCAGGTTTTATTATTGCACTTTATATGTTTGCGTCTATATTTTTTCAATTTCAATACACACAAGGCCTTTTTTCTCAAAATGAGTTTGTTTCTCCACCTCAGCAGCACTGACATATACCAAATTCTATAGATTTATTCCTCTCAATATTGTGAAGGTTTTTACTGAAGGGTTTGTTCATATATTTTTTGCCTGGTATTATTATTGCACTCTATCTATTTGCATCTGTAAATTCAATTTGCAGTACAATCTTTAAAGGTTGTTTTCTCATAATGAGATTTATCTCAACTTCAGCAATGGTTACACAAACCAAATTTTACAGTTTTATTCATGTTTATATTCTGAAGGGTTTTACTGAGGGGTTTGATCATACATAATTTGCATGATTTTATTTTTTACATGTTATCTATTTGCATCTATAGATCTCAGTTCCGATACACATAAGGCCTATTTTTCCCTCAAATTGAGTTTTTTCTCCACTTCAGCAGCACTTACAAACACCAAATTTTAGAGTTTTATTCCTCCCTATATTCTAAAGGTTTTTACTGAGGGGTTTGTTTATATATTGTTTGCCTGGTATTATTATTGCACTTTATCTATTTGCATCTGTACATTTCAATTCCAATACACATCTTCAAAAAGTTTGTTTCTCCACTTCAGCAGCACTTACTAAACACCAAACTTTACTGTTTTATTCCTATCTTTATTCTGAAGGGTTTTACTGAGGGGATTGTTCACTGATTTACACAACTTTTTTATTCCTAAAAACAAGCTGAAATGTATTTCAGTATTTTTTTTTTGGTTTATGGAGTGATAAAAAGAGAAATAAAAAATCCCCTCTGGAAAAACCTTTAACTCTAATATGTCAACAAAATCAAGAATTTTGAACCTGGCCTGGAAATGTAGTTCATATTTAATTAGATAATGCCTCATTTGCTTATTTAAATATAGCTTTTCAGAAAACTCTTAAATTCTTAAAGTAATTAAACACCTGGGGAAGTATGATGATATCTATTAGTTGTTTGTTTTTACCATATTCACCTGCAGTGTCTTGCCTTAGAGAGAGACGAGAGACAGTGTGTTATTTACAACAGTCAGAACTAATGAGTGTAAAGCAGGGGAAGTTCTCATCTAACTAGTGTGAGGAAAGCAGTTTTATTTCTTTGTTCAAGCTTCAGCTGCTCCTTGGAGAAAAAGGAAGAAAAAAGGGTTTGAGGCGAAAAAGTGTCATCTTATGTTTGAAGCGGAGCTATTTTCACCTGGCGGTTTTGGCTGCACCACTGCGTAATTATCACACGCTTGATTACGTTTGTCTGAAATGAACATCTCCTGTGGAGAGCGTAGCTGCAGGCTGGATCTGTGTTCGACTACCTCATCCTGTCCGTGAGCCACATAATGTTTCCAGTCAGACGAGAAGAGAAGAGCTGCCGCACAAACATGTCCTGCGGTGGCAGAATTACTGGCACAATCTCACATAAGACGAGGAAATGTGTTTGACTTCACTTCACTGTGCTGCTTAAACCCTGTTAGTCTTGCAGTAGTTAAAGGTTTTGTTTAGCTTGAGTGAAGACTCACCTCTTTGCTGTTTTTGGAGATGAAGGCTTAAGCTTATCAAATTCATCCTTTTCTGCAAAGATCACCACGTTTTCTGGAAAGACAATGTGTGAAGATCAGTGACGTGCTCGTTCATCTCAGATCAGCTGTTGTTATATTGAAACTTTTTAATAAAGCTTCTCTGGACATAAGTTTTCAGTGTAATTTCAGTATAAATAGAAAATAAATCTATTATTTGTTAACAGCGAACCTATTTCAATTTGATTTCCAAATCTGATCTGGATGATCGACTGTTTAATGCACGAGTTATGAATATGCATTCTTCATCACTGTACATCATTTATTTGAATGGTTTATGCACTACATTCAAGTTTCTGTTTTTACTGATTATAATACAAACAAATGCATTTGGCAGATGCTTTTATCCAAAGAGACTTATATTGCATTCAAGGTATATGAATTTCTATATCCGTCCATGCATCCCCTGGCAATCGGACATTGGCATTGGTGTTGCAAGTGCCATGATTTACTGTTCGAGCTACAGGAACTAAACAGATATGAGTTGGATATGTGTCAAATTAAATAAATGGTCTGTTTTCTGTCTGTGTGAATGCTCATCTGAAGTCAGAGTTGCAGCTGCAAGTGCATGAGTGGATCTTTCTCATGTATTCTGTTATTATAAGTGGCTTAGCTGAGGATATCCGGTGGGAAATGGGATAAATGCGGATGTCTAGCAGTGTAGGTATTTGCTCATCCGCTCTGAAAGCAGGATTAATGTTGTGATTTACAGTAACATTAATACATCTGCTTTTCTTCTGCTTCAGTCTTTTACTTTTGGGACTGTTTCGTGACGAATTTCAAGACTATTTTGTTCATGTATTTTTTAAAGGATTTTTAGTGAATGCACTGCAATGAACTAAATGGAAAAATCCATACAAGATAAATCAAAAGAGATGTTGAATATACCAAGAATTCTTTAAATCGCAAAATCTATAAATTAAAATGCACACGATATTTTTGTGTTATGTATTTCTGCTCTTCTGACAGCGATTGATTGATGGATTGATGGCTAAATGAGCTGCAGTGAGAGTGAGTGAAAGCTGATTTTGAGGGGTTTTTCTCCAGACGGTATGAGATGGTTATGCAGAGATGCGTTGCGAACTTTGGGTGCCGTCAGCAAGAGCCGTGGGCTGAAGGAACATTCCAGATCCGCCGTTCACATCGTCACGTCATCTTAAGCAGTTTAACACGTACAGATGTCAAACCAAGCGTTCGCTCACCTTGAACCTCCTTCTTCTCCTCCTGCTTGTTTGTTTGGGCTTCCACTGTCTTTATTATTTGTCCAGAGCAGCATGCTGGGAAACAAAGAAACAAAGAAAGAAAGCACTGGGTTAGACTCACAGCACTGCTATTCATTTAATGTCTGAAGCAATAAGAAAGAGTTTGAAATATGGGAATGAGCTCAAGTAAATGTAGAGCAGAAGGACTCGAACTGCAGTCAGAAGAGCTTATCTGTGGACGAACACACACATCAGTTATGAGGAACACACACACACACACGCACACACTCCCTCACACACACACACACACACACAC